GCTCTTCACGCTCCGCTCCCGCCGCCTCGGCGGCCCCCACAGCGGCGACGTCAGGTACCGGCGGGGGGAGCGGGCGCCGGGGCCGGGCCGGCCCTGACCCCACCCCGATCCCTCCCGCAGCTTCCCCGGCGGGCGGCGGGACCCGGCGGACGCGGACGCGGTGGCCACGGCGTTGCGGGAGACGCAGGAGGAGCTGGGGGTGGCGGTGGCAGCAGCCAGCGTGTGGGGACAGCTGCGGACCCTGCCCGATCGGGTACCGGGCACCGGGGGCGGGACAAGGGCGCGGGGGGGTGGACAAGGACACAAAGGCAAGAGGCAGGAAATCGGTGACGGGGTCACGGGTGACAGAGCTTACGGGTGATGGGTTCAAAGTGACAGGGACAAGGGTTATGGGTGACAGGACGCGGGTGACGGGAACACGGCAGCAGGGACACAGAGGAGGGCTTCCAAGTGACAGGGACAAAGCAGCAGGGACACGGGTGACGGGTTCTGGGTGACACGGACAAAGGGGAAGGGTCCTGGGTGATGGGTTTGAGGTGACAGGGATGGGAGTTTCCGTGTGACAGGGGTTTGGGGTGACAGAGACAAGGCAGCAGGGACACAGGTGACAGGAACTACAGGTGACAGGGACAGGCAGCTGGGTCATGTGTGATAGGGGACTTGGGTTAACAGGGACATGGGTGATGGGTTCAGGATGACAGGGACAAGGCAGCAGGGACATGGGTAATGGGTTTGGTGTGACAGGGACACAAGTGACAGGGATTACAGGTGACAGGGACAAGTCAGCAGGGACACAGGTGACAGGAGTTCTGGGGATTTAGGGTGACAGGGACACCGGGCAGTGGCTGCAGGTGAAGGGCGGGTTTTGGGTGACACACACATGGTGGGGGCCTGGGTTGGGTGCAGGGGGGGTCAAGGCACACGGGTGGCACTTTGGAGAGGGGGTTGTCACCCCATCCCTCGCTGACACACCTTCCAGCAAGGAATGACCGTGGCACCCGTCGTGGCCAACCTGGGGCCGCTGGAGGCCTTGACACTGACCCCCAACCCCGACGAGGTGGGTGACCCCTCCCTGGGGCCTGCAGCCCTTTACTGGTGTCACTGGGTGTGTCACCACAGTGACCCCCTCACCTGTGCCGGCAGGTGGAGGAGGTGTTCACCCTGCCCCTGGCTCACCTGCTGCGGGAGGAGAACCAGGGCTACACCCACTTCCGCACGGCCACCGGCTACGGGTACACCCTGCCCGTGTTCCTGAACGGCCCCCACAGGGTGTGGGGGCTCACGGCCATCATCACCGAGCTCACCCTGGAGCTGCTGCTGCCCGGCCACTACCGCAGGAAGACCCATGTGCCACCCCGGAAACCCGTGGCCTGAGGGAGGAGGGGACAGGGGGTGGCTCTGGGGCACTGAAGCCACTGGTGATGTCGCACACTGTGATTCAGTAAAAGCCATGTTTGGAACTGCCCCGGGCTCCGAGTCATGGAGCGTGACCAGGACAGCTGTCCCCTGGCACTGGTACAGCAGGAGGTGTCCTGGGGACACCGTGGCAGGGACAGGGAGCATGGACAAAGACCTGTGTCCATGTGATCCCCCCACAGCCATTGCCTCTGCCCAGTCCCAGACAGGGGCTGTGGAGCCTCATGGAAAGCCAGGATCTTCCCTCTGGGGTACCCAGACCCCACGATCCCTGGGCTTTCCCTGCTCCTGGGAGGCAGGGCCCAAAGCCCCCCCCCATCAGTCCCTTCCCACCATTTTATGTCCACCGCGGAGTTCACGAGTGCAGCAGCGTTTATTGAGGCCCCTCCACAGAACCCTCCCAAAGCGCTGCCAGAACCCCAGAACCCCCTGAACCCTCTTCCAGGCAGGAAAAGGAATGGGTGGTCCTGCATCCTTACGCTGACGCTGCTCGGGCTTTGGCCTCCCCGAAGCGCCGCATCCTCTCCTCCAGCTCGGGGCGGAAGTGCCGGATGAGGCCCTGTAGGAGCAAAGGAGCCGGTTACCGGGGCGGGGAGAGGTTGGTGGCCTCCCCCAGGACTCCCCCGGGCCCCCACCTGCACGGGCCAGGCGGCGCCGTCGCCCAGGGCGCAGATGGTGTGCCCCTCGATCTGTTTGCTGATCTCCCAGAGCGCGTCGATCTCAGCCGCCTGCGCGTCGCCCCGCACGAACCGTGCCATCACCTTGTTCATCCAGTCCACGCCTGCGGGGTGGGGAGGGGTCAGGGCTCTGTGCTGTGCAACCCCTCGCCCCGCAGCCTTCCCCTGGCCTCACCTTCCCGGCACGGGGTGCACTGCCCGCAGCTCTCGTGCTTGTAGAACTCGATGAGGCGGGCGATGGCCTTGACAATGTCGGTCTGGGGGGGGTGGGAGAGGAGGGTGAGGTGAGGGAGGGGAGGGTGAGGGGCTGGGGGGGCCGGGCAGGGGGCCGGTCCCTTACGGATTTATCCATGACGATGACGGCGGCTGTGCCCAGCCCGCTCTGCGCCTGCACCAGGGAATCGAAGTCCATCAGCACCGTCTCGCATACCGACTTGGGCAGCAGTGGCGTGGAGGAGCCCCCCGGGATCACAGCCAGCAGGTTGTCCCAGCCGCCGCGGACCCCCCCTGCAAAGAGAGGGGTGAGGAGCAGCCACTCCAGGCCCACCCCGGCACGGTGCGGCGCGGCCCCGGCACCCACCGGCATGTTTCTCGATGAGCTCCTTCAGCGGCACCGACATCTCCTCCTCCACCGTGCAGGGCGTGTTCACGTGCCCTGAGATGTTGAAGAGCTTGGTGCCCGAGTTCCGCTCCCGGCCGAAGCTGGCGAACCAGGCGCCGCCGCGCCGGCAGATCGTGGGTGCCACCGACACCGTCTCCACGTTGGCCACAGTGGTGGGGCAGCCAAAAACACCTGGGAAACAGAAGGAGAAAGTTCTTCCCTGGGAGGGTGGGGAAGGCCCTGGGATAGATTTCCCAGGGAAATTGTGGCTGCCCCATCACTGGAAGTGTCCAAGCTAGTCTGGAGCAACCTGATCTAGTGGGAGGTGTCCCTGTCCATGGCAGGGGGTGGGAATGGAATGATCCTTAAGGTCCCTTCTCACCCAAACCAGTCTGTGATTCTATGAAACACTGGGAGCTCTCAATGGATGTGGTGGTGGCTGTGTTGGTACCCCTGGGGACACCCGGTTTGGGGTAGCAGCCTGGAATTTGGGATGGAGCTGCGGGGCCGTACCCACGTCCGCAGGGAAGGGCGGCTTGAGGCGGGGCTTGCCCTGCTTGCCCTCGATGGACTCGATGAGCGCTGTCTCCTCCCCGCAGATGTAGGCGCCGGCCCCACGCACCACGAACACGTCGAAAGCGTATCCAGATCCGCAGGCGTCGGCTCCCAGCAGCCCGGCCTCATACGCCTCCTGGATGGCCACCTGCAAGAGGGGGCACGGGTGAGCCATGACCCCCCGCACCGGCTCCGGGGTGCTGGTGGGGCATCTTTGGGGCACTCCCCGCACCTGCAGGTTGGAGGCCTCGTTGTAGAACTCCCCCCGGATGTAGATGTAGGCGGCCCGGGCGCCCATGGCCCGTCCCGCCACCAGGCAGCCCTCTATCAGCTTGTGTGGGTCGTGCCGCATGATCTCCCGGTCCTTGCAAGTGCCCGGCTCGCCCTCGTCCGCGTTCACCACCAGGTACTTGGGTCTGGGGGCAGGGAAAGCTCCGGGACCGGCGCCACCGGGGGGCTCCCCGCGGGCCCGGCGCCGCCCCCGGCCCCGCTCTCACCTGCCGTCCGGGGGCTTGTTCATGAAGCTCCACTTGAGCCCGGTGGGGAACCCGGCGCCGCCGCGGCCCCGCAGCCCCGAAGTCTTGATCTCGCCGAGGATCCAGTCCACGCCCTTGAGCAGGATCTCCTTCGTCTTGTACCAGTCGCCGCGGCGCAGGGCGCCCTGCAGCCTGCGGGCACCGCACACGCTGGCACCGGGTGCGGGGCGCCGGGGCCGCGCCCGCCGCCCCCGGGGCTCACTCACCTCCAGTCGTGCCGCCCGTAGAGGTTGGTGAAGATCCGGTCCTCATCCCGCAGTGACCCGAACTGCGTCTTCTTGGGCGCCGTCTGCGGGGACACGCGAACTCAGCACCGGGAGCACCGGGACCCGGCCCGGACGGTCCTGAAACTCCCCGCTCACCGAGAAGGAGGCGGCGGGCAGGCGCCGGAGCGCCAGCAGCTGCCGGGCGGCCATGGTGGGGCGGCACCGGGATCGGGACCGGCCCCGGGATGGGGACCGGCACCGGGATCAAGATCGGCAGAGGGACCGACCACCGTCACCTTCAGGCGCCCCCGCGGCGACGTCACGGGCAGCGCCGACGGCGCGACAGTGACGTCAGCGACCGGCACGGGAGCGGGGGCGTGGTTAGCGGGCCGGAGGCGTGGTCACAGTCAGGAGGCGTGGTCACAAAGCAGGGGGCGTGTCCTCCAGGACAGCTCGTCGGGTGACATTGGGGAGCGGTCACGGCGGGGGGGGGGGGGGGCCTCCGCGGGGGGGGGGGCGTGGCCAGGCCGGCGCGCGCCTCCACGTGCCCCGCGCCCGGTGCCGGGTCGGGTTTCGGGCGCTGAAACCGGAGCCCCACACGGGACCCCCCCGGAGCCCCCAGGGCCGCCCCGCTCCCCCCGCCCCGCGCCCCGGGGGGTCGCCGCGCTCCACCCGGTCTCCTGGGCGACGCGGCGGGGCCCGGGGACAGCGCTGGCCTCGTCCCTGCGAGGGACGAGCGCCTGTTCGGAGGGATCTGGTTTCCCCCCCTGCGAGGCTCCGGTGGTGGGGAGAAGGAGCGGAGAGCAGGCGAGATGTTCTTTCTCTTCCGCGGGTCGCAGCCGCCCGGCACTGGCAGCCCCGTGCCCCCCGGCTGCCGGGGCGGCCCCCGGCCCCACGGGCTCGGAAGGAGGGGTGCCCGCCGCCCCCGCCCGGCCCCGCGGCTCGGGGGTCCCGGCCCCGCGGGGAGCCGGGGGCGCTGGAGCCGTAGCGCTGCGTCCCCCCCGGAGCGGCGGCGGGCCGCCGAGGAGCTGGGCCCCCGGCCGCCCCCCGCTCTCGGGCAGGTAACCGGCGGCGGGGACAGGGCCAGGGCACGGCGGGCGCCGGGGACCCCGCGTGCCCCCGCGGGGAGGCTGCGGGACCGGGGAACAGCTGGGCGGCTCCCCACATCTGGAGCTGGGCGGCCGAGCGGGGAATAATCCGGAGGATTATGCGCGCGGGCGCGGCGCCCCCCCCCCTTCGCGTGCCCTGCATATCCCCAGATATTCCATAAAAACCTCAAATCCCCGGTGGCAGCCCCGCGGTCTGCGCCAGCCGGCCCCCCCGGGCCAGGCATGTCCTGCGGCGCGGGGGCAGCCCCCAGCCATGGGCAACTGCACCAAGACCCCTGAGCGGCGGCTCCCCAAGGTACGGCCGGGCCGGGCCGGCCCATAGGGGCAGCAGGAGGAGGAGGGGGGGGTCCCAGCGTGGCCCCCCCGCGCCGCTGACGCCCGCTGTGCCCGCAGGATGGGAAGCCGCGCTCTGGTGTCCCAGGCTCCGGCGGGGGGGACCCAGAGGATGCGCTGGACCCGGCACAGACCCCCACTCTGCAGGGATACTCGGTGCTGCAGGGGCTGGTGGGGCCAGCCTGCATCTTCCTGCGGCAGAGCATCGCCATCACCCAGCGGGTACGTGCCCGTCTCCTCCCCGTGCCGCCCCTGCCCCCGGGGGGGTGAGGGCAGGATCCCTGCGGGATCCCTGGGAGTAGGACCCCTCCTTCGGCTCTTCCCGCTTTCTCTCCCCCAGGACCGGGAGCTGCGGCCCGAGGAGATTGAAGGTAAGGTGCTGGGGAGGGGGTCCCTCCCGGGGGGGTGGGTGGCAGTGCCGGGGGGCCGGCAGTGACGCTGTGGTGTCCCCAGAGCTGAAGCACGCATTCCAGGAGTTTGACAAGGACCACGACGGCTACATCAGCTACAAGGACCTGGGCGAGTGCATGCGGACCATGGGCTACATGCCCACGGAGATGGAGCTCATCGAGCTGTCGCAGCAGATCAGTACGTGGGGGGGCACGGGGCGTCCCCAACAATCCCTGCCCCCCCCGGCACCCTCCTGACACCCCCCCTCCCACCACAGCCGGGGGCAAGGTGGATTTCGACGATTTTGTGGAGCTGATGGGCCCCAAGATGCTGGCGGAGACGGCAGATATGATTGGGATCAAGGAGCTGCGCGACGCCTTCCGTGAGGTGCGGTGAGGCGAGGGGCGGGGGGGGCGGCCCGGCGGGCAGCCGGCATGCCAGCCGAGGGCAGTGGTGGCACCATGCCCTGTGCTGCAGTTCGACACCAACGGGGACGGGCAGATCAGCATGGCGGAGCTGCGGGAGGCCATGCGCAAGCTGCTGGGGCAGCAGCTCAACTACCGTGAGGTGGACGAGATCCTCAAGGACGTGGATCTCAACGGCGACGGCCTGGTGGACTTTGAAGGTAGTGCGTGGCCAGG